TTTTTTTAGTATGGAGACCCAAGTCCCTCAGCCTTTCCTCGTATGGCTTGCCTTGCAAGTCTCTGATCATATGGGTGGCTCTTCTTTGGACTCTCTCAAGCTTATCCATGCCCTTGCTGAAGTGCAGTGCCCAGAATTGGATGTGGTACTCCAGCTGTGGTCTCACCAATGCCAAGTAAAGCAGGAGAATCACTTCTTGGTTTTGCTTGAGATGCATCAGTTGATGCATGCCAGAGTATTGTTTGCCCTACTGGCTACAGCATCACCCTGACAGCTGATGTTCATACTATGGTCTATTATTCCCCCCCAGTCCCTTTCATTCATGGTACCACCAAGCCTGTAAATATGTTGGGGATTGTTAGTCCCGAGATGGAGCGCTTTACACTTCCGTATGTTGACCTTCATCTTGACCAAATCCGCCCAACTTGCCGACCTGTCTAGGTCTGCCTGTATTTGCAGCCTATCTTTAAGCACGACTACGCTTCCCCATAACTTGGTGTTGTCCGTGAACTTGGCCAGTGAGCTCTTCACCCCCCCCATTCAAATCATTGATAAATATGTTGAAAAGCACTGGACCAAGCACGGACCCCTGAGGGACACCACTGGCCACTTCTCACCAGAATGACACATATCTGTTCATTAGAACTCCCTGGGTCCTACCCCGCAGCCAGCTTCCTACTCACTTGCCTAACTGTTGAGCAGTTAAGCCTGCAATCCTCCAATTTTCCCATGAGAACATCATGAGATACCAGATCAAAGGCCTTTTGGAAGTCTAGGTATACAATGTTGACTTCCTCTCTTATCCAGGTGGCGAGTTACCTGGTCACAGAAGATGAGATTGGTAAAACGAGACCTGCCCATGATGAAGCCATGTTAGCTGTCCTTCAGAATCCTAACTTCTACAAGCCTATCACACAAATTCCTTGATGATTTTTTCCAGGATTTTCCCTGGGATACAAGTTAGGCTAAGTGGCCTATAGTTGCCCAGGTCCTCTCTCCTCCCCTTCTTGAAGATGGGCACAACATTGGCCCTCTTCCGGCCTGCAGGGACCTTTCGACTGAACCAAGCAAAATGCAAGTAAGAATTCAGTACAAGCCCTACAGAAGATGTATTCTATGTATTAACAACATGGTTCTCTTTATGCAGTCAGTACTAGTGAGGGAAAATAACATGCACACATGGGCGCACACACCTGCAGGGTTTGAGCAAGACTGGGGAACACAGCTGGCCACAGGGTGCAAGAGATAATGCAAACATCAGGGGCACAATCACCACAACCTTCCTGAAGTCTGGAGTTCTAATGAATGGAAAAAGAACAGCTTCTACATCCATGTGTCTTGATATGTACCTCAAACAGCCACCAACTAAGAACCAAGTGGCAGTTCTGTATCTCAGGGTCCTTCAGTCCTAGATTTCTCTGCTAAGATAATCAAGGGCATCAACATTACCTGTGGTAATCTGAGATACAGGCACCTCACCAGGGCTAAAATAAATCACACCAATCCATGAGGGGCCAGACTGCCTCCAGATGGTAACCACTTTATCACTGTGTACTGAAAACAATTCCAGTTTGAAGGAGGTATTTATAAAGACCATTGCTGAGCTCATTGTTAGGCACCAAGAGTCATTCCAAATGGAGCTGTCAAATTTGATGTAATCTATGAAGTTACAGATCTGCTTTCAGGCATGACCTTTGGACTCTGCATTCTCGGACTAGAAAATGATGAAAAAAGCAGTTTTTCCTGAAAGCATCACTTTCAGCTATAATGTCACATCTTAACAGTTGGACCCAGTTTCTGAAGCTGCAATGTCATGTTGGCTGCCTGACTGCATGAAAGTGGTCCTGTATCCTGCATTTCCATCTGCTACCTCAGTTGAGCCCCCATACCTAGTCACTCCTCAGAATGGTAAGAATTTGCATGATGCAGACCCTTGCTGGAACTTGGTAGAGTGTGGACAAGAAAAAGCTGAGGTTCAGGTGCATGGAAGGCCCTACTTCCAAACACCAAAGTACATTTTAAAGAGATAAGTAATCAGATATAGCATATATTTTTGAAGCTGTACACTTTTCTCAGTCCATTCATAGCGCCTGACAGAGTAGGCAGCAACCTACAAAAGCACATGCCTCTCTGAATGAGTGAGAAGGCAGGGCAAGGTGGCACCTTGTAGACTAGCTCAGTACTTGTGCATCTGTCCTAAGGATTTCCCATCCTACTTCCAAGCCCTATATAATGGGAGGTCCTGCTTGGCAGAGGAAATAATGGAACTCCAGAACACTGGTCACTCCCCTCCGCCGTGCCCCACCCCAACCCACCCCGAGGGGCTAAGCATATAGACACTATCAAATTTACCCCCTCCCAAAGGAGCAAAGACTAGCAATTCCAGCTTGGGGACTGACTTGTGCTAACCACAAGAGCACCCCAAAAATGCATGCCATTTTTTTAAATCATAAGACAGTCCTCTTGTCCCTATAAGATGCTGCATCATCAGTTTTGCATTCTAGTTGTCCAGAAAATAGGAGGTACCAGTATTTAGCAGTCTCTAGGTTTTACATAAAAGACCCTTTACACAGTATTTCAGCCTGCTGGTAACAATTTTAAGGAGAGAGAATACTGGATAGTTTAAGACTAGTAAAAGACAGCCTTTTACCTTGAGGGTACTGCTTCAAGACTGGGCCACTACTGACCAAACCCGATGGTTCTTTAGGGGTATCCAAGGAGTATTTAGTAGTATCTGTTCAGCTCTTACTGCACAGGCCCTCATATCATCTATACAATACCTTAGGCTGGCAATCTCAGCCTGGTCACAGAAGCTTAAGTGGTTTTCACACCTGGCCTTAGCTCTACCCAGTCACATTAGAAGCCAGTTGGCAGGGAAGCTTGTATTGTCATTACTCTGCATTCTAATTGTTCTGAAGATGAAGAAAATTTGATAGCCAAGAATTTTACAAGCATTAAAAAAAACCAAAAAACCACTCAGATAAATTGCAAAGCTATCTACTCCCATTACTCAAAAGGCATGCAATTTAGCAAGAGCACCATTAAATGCTGAAAATATCAAAGCAGGCAGTGACACTCAAAACATGACTTAGTAAAATTAGCTACATTTAAAATAGGATTCAGTAGCATACACAAGAGAGCTAGGGCAGGGTTTAAAATTATTAATTTATTAGTATTTTTTTTAAATGGAAAGATGTGGTATTGCTTTACAGTATATAGCAGTCATAGGCAATGTTTTTGGTCAGAGTGCCAAAAACACCTGCAACCTCAACTCATAAGATGTTGGTGTCCCAGGGGTGGATGGTGTGGGAGCCTTGAGGGGTTTAAATCCTTGTTGTGACAGCACAGACTTGGCCCCTTCCCCGCCGTCCACCCAGAGGCATGTGTGCCAAGCAAAATGCCTCCATGTACCACACGCTGGCAGTCATGCTGGGGGTTGCCTACCCTTGGTATACACCATGACTGCAGAGGTACAACTCCTTTTGATTATATCAGGAATCATTTTTCACCAGTACATTTGCTAGTAAGTTACTTGTCCTGCTGTCCACATTTGTAACTGAATCGCACTGATTTTCCTGCATCACCTGCTTCTAGCTGATTACAGATAACCCTCTCCAACAGAAGTGCAGCTTTTAGAACCTTAGAAGTACCAACAGAAATGGTGTCAATAGTCTCTCTTATGAGCTGCATTTTTTTCCTTTTGGGCAATGCTAAGCGCAGCACAGCAGCTCTCAATTTCAAAGAGCTCTCACCCAAGGATAGATGTATTCAGTTCTTTCCTGGGGGCCTGCAGATGCTCAATACCTCTTGGGAAAAGGCATTAAGTGAGCCAAGCTGTCTCCAAACACATGAATGATAGCACTTACATCAAATCTTGTCCATAGCCCCTTAATTTGCTACCGTGATTTCACAGCTATCCTAACCTCAAACTATCCTCTTTGCATGGATATCTGTAGAGCACCATTACAGAACCTCTTGAGGACGATGCATAATAAGAATTTATTACAATTAGAAGTCAAGCCACACTGCTCCTTTAAACTCTGAATCAGTTTGTCCCATCCCAAGTGTTAACAAGCTCTTGATTCTCTCAGCCTCTTGCTTTCAGATTAAACTCCAAGTGCCAAATGCTACAGCCCCAGGGCTGGTTCTTGTGAAGATGCTGAGTTCCAGGGCCTGAATGAGATTGCTTCTATCAAACCCTTCGGGCTATTATTTTGCATCAGGGATGGTGAGAACTATGACAGATTGCAAATCGCCACAGGACCTGCACCCTGCCAGGCAGCATTACATTTTAACTGCTGCGAGTGGATGCAAAAGAGAGCGCAGCTCCACTCCTTGGCTCTTAATTATAGGCTTGTGACATTATAGTTAATGGTCTGTCAGGGCTTCCATTATAAGCCTTGATTTTGCAGGAGGCGGACAGATTAAGCTCAGTACCCCAAGTACTCAGTCACAAAAGCTTTAGATTTGAGCTAATCTCATTGTTCTTTTGGCATAAACCTCTGGATACTCCCTTTTTATACAGCTGGCTGCTTGTGTTAACTCTCTACTGATGCTCCAAAATGCCATGACTGTTTTTTAACTGGAGGCACAAGCAATGCTATGCTTGAAAACAGCATTGTTGTGATGTCATCAATAGATATACAAGGCTGTCATCAGGTATCAGGGGACAAGTTCCTGATCATTTCACCAATATGACTCTGAGAAGCGGATTCTTAAGGCTGCAAGGGACATGGAGCGAACAGAAAGGTGGTGACTAATGCAGGTCCTGTTAAGCCAAATGCATTTTTTTAACTGATAAACTGCTACACCAAGCTAGAGCAAACAGCAGAGCAAAACGTGTGGCATATCTGCCAAGAACTGCGTATGGTGCAATGTCGCTCCACAATAACTCAGTCTGTGTAGGCTTCAGAGCAATTATGAAGCTGTTGATAAAGCTTCTCCCCACACCGTTGTGTTGTCCTCGCAGCCCTGCACCCCTCCCTCCCAAGGCTCCTTACCGTTACTGTAGGCATAAGGGGATTCGGATGCTCCATCTTGAAGGCTCTCCAGGATTTCTCCTTTTCCAACATCACTGTCTCCTACCAACAGGAACTTGAGCAGATAATCATAGCTCTTCACAGGGCTTCCCTGGGTTCCCATTCTCCCTCTCATTAGTGAGGGGGCACGATCCGCATACTAAACACGCAGCCAGCGCGAGAGGGCACCGCGGCTCCAGCTCCAGCTCCCGGGCCCCGAGCCCAGCCCACCGAGGAGGAAGCGCCGCTCTCAGCAGGAGCCCTCCATCCTCCGCGGACCTGCCTGGCGCGACGCCGGGAGCCGGGAGCCTGCGAGGAGAGAAGGGGGCGGTGCGGTGAGGTCCCGCCGCGGCCGGGCGCTGCCGCCCAGGGACGCCCTTTGTTCGGAGGCGGCAGCGCCCGGCC